TTTTTCTTTCTTCCTTTGGTACTTTTTTCTTTTTCTCTTATATAACCATTTTCTTTCTTTTCATTCTTCCTTTAATTCTCAATCCTTTCCTTTCTAACATTTTTGACATTCCTTATTTCGTCTTTTTTTATTATTTGTCACTTTTATCTTTTTCTTTCTTTCTTTGTTACTTTCGCTTGCTTTTATTCTTTCTTTCTTTCTTTCAACATTCCATATTTATTTACTCTTTTTCTCTTTCTTGCTTTATTTAATGCTTTATTTATTCCTTTTAAAAATTCTCTTTCATTTTCTTTCACTGTTTTCTCTTTCCTATTCCGATCTTTGAACATTTCTTCCTTTCTTTTTTCGTTTTCTTATTCATTTTTCGTCTCTTTCGTTTTTGACTTTTCTTTTCTCACTTCCCTTTCTTTTCTTTATCTCTCTCTCTCTCTTTCATTCTAATCCTTACATTATTCTCTATCTTTTTCTCTCTCTCTCTTTCTTTCTTTCTTTTTCTTTCTTTTTTCTTTCTTTCTTTTTTGTTTGTTTGTTTGTTTGTTTGTTTGTTTCTTTCTTTCTTTCTTTCTTTCTTTCTTTCGAACTTCTATTATCGAGGGATAAAACGAATCTGTAATATATTGAAAGTGAAAGCGCGATCACGCCATATGTTCATGAGTAGATCTATTTACCAAGCTTAGCATAGTCTGGCACAAGATCAGAAATGTGGGCGCACTCAGTGACGATCAGGCACATTCTAATAGTAATGAACTGTGCGACAATCTTAGCCATTTCTACTCACGGCGAGGTGTCTTATTATGAGCACAAGGCGACATTAGTACGTTTCCCAAAGAAGGTGGAAGTCATTACACAAACGAATTGCCCTGCAAACCACCCACAACTGCAGGTATCTTTGGTATTCATGACATATGCACACATAAGCATAAGCACACACACACTATATATATATATATATATATATATATATATATATATATATATTATTTTTATCATAAGAGATTATAATGAAAACATGTTGAACTCGCTACGCAAAAGCTTTCATGTTTCAATACTTTGATTGTACTTCTTCAGGCGATGGTAAGTAACTAGTGATTAAATGATTATTAAGAAAATTTAAAAACAAGCTGTTCCCTCATTTTCGAAAGTTAAAGGTGTGGAGAAACATAAGATCAGAATTAAAAATAGATTTGTGTGTATGTTTTGGTTATCCAATTAAATGTCAGATCTGCGCTAAATAGAAAAGCAAACTCAGAGGATGGAGGTGGGTTTCATGCCATGATAAACCGGAACATAGACAGGCCATCATTGACAAGTGCGGAAAATACACGATACATTTGTCGCTTACATATTTTGAAACAGGAAAGATTTTGTGTAAAGATTTCAACATGTTTTTATTAAAATCTCGTATAATAAAAATAATAATAATATATTGCTCTACTTTGTATTGAGCACTTTTTAAAATTAAACGCTACGAAAAATGGAATTTTAATCCATCTGTTCTTTCTCTAAATTCGGATACATCCTAAAACACACACACACACACACACACACACACACACGCACATATATATATATATATATATATATATATATATATATATATATATATATATAAAATAGATTTTTGTTAATCCGACAGTTCCTCGAATATTCAGGCCGGTAAACGAAAATAAATAAACATACTGTTTAATATTTAAACAGCGCGTCTACTCAAACACGAGTAACCACTAAAAATAACGTTTAAAGTGAGAAAATTATGTCGGATTAATAAAAATCTCTTACTTTCTTTAGAAAAACTGCTTGGCTTACGTTTGGATACGAAACCGTGCAGATATGAAAAATTACGTGAGATCTATGGCGACAGAAATTCGATTAAAGGCACAATTTCGGCTTTTTCTGCTCGACTGTTTCTCTGTAGCACAGCTGGTTAGACTATTCCGAGTCATAAGTTCTATTTACCCGGGGGGGAGGGGGTCGCAGGTTCGAATCTTGCCGAAGAGTGTAAAGCTTTCTATACTAAGTTTTCTCAGACCGGTAGACAAAAATAAATAAATATGCGTTTTAACAAATAAACAGGACGGATACTCAAATTCGAGTATTCATTTAAAATAACGGTTAATTTAATAAAAAATCTGTCGGATTAATGGAAATCACTTACTTTCTTTAGAAATATATATGGATAGATGTAATATATATATACAGATAACAAGAATTCATTTTTACGGGTTTTGTTTCAACCGACAAGGTATGTTTATTTTTTATTGTATTTTTTCAATTTTTAAATAAGATGTGTATCGGGATCAAAATTGTACATAAGCTGTTCAAAATTTCATATTTTGCTGTTTCTGTTCATCTGTTTTTAATCAGTCATCATGAAGAACTGTGTGTTGTCAGAGTGAAAGACAAGATTTTGTTTGCTACATGCAGACATTTCTCTACAGCCAAAGTGACATCATGCATAAAGCCTAAATGCATATGAGCAAATCACCAAACATTACAGTCT